AAGCTCAGTTTACTCCACGACCAAGAGGATGCCGGAGGCAAACGATACGTCTTTGGAAAGCTCTCGACGAGACGCAACTCCGCCATTTTCGAAACCGTCACTGCTTTCCCTAACGAGAAACCAAGCTTTTAAATTCGGTCAAGGGGGTTTGATATCTAATGTAACCTACTGCAGTACCATTTGAATCACGGAACCTATGTACTACTGTACGAGATTATGCTCACAGGTGCCGCCGAGAATGAATTGGCGCAAGTCTTATTTTGTCGTTGGCATAGAACCTACCGCCACTGATATTTTATCTTTGGGAATAAAACCTTCCGAAAAATTACTTACTGCGTTAGTACCGCCCGCGCCTGTGTCGCGCCAAGAAAACCGTTTCCGACCCGTGCCGCCGAAAAATTACCGCGGTATAGCACAACTGTTGTGTGCCTTAATATTTCCCGTTGCGGACATCCGCATATGCAACCCTGGGCCGACATATTCGCATGTATCCCGTGGTTTGTGCTTCTCTACTGCAACTGTGAGGCTAGAACTAGATGGAGAGACTAGAACGGTTTTCTATTGTGAAAACACCAACAACATCCATGGCTTTGCGCGAAACGTCACCATTGTTTGCGTGCGACAGCCTCCGCCGCCGCCTCCGCCGAAGGATGTCAGCAGGGAGGGGACGCTAGACGAACATCCCCTGTTCGAGGCGTTGTACGTAGTTTCCGTCGAGGAGGGCGCTTCGAACAGGGAGGGGGATGGTGGCGCCGCAGCCCCGTTTTCCAGCTTGGAGGCGTATCAGCGTGCCAGCCGACAGTGCCCTCCTAGGGTAGTCTGGAGGTAAGTAAGTTTTTTTTTATGTTTTACACCACCTTATATGAAGAAAGGTATTGTGTAGGTGCGTCCGCATCAGTTGGACCGGTATTAGAAGGTACTGGGCAGACGTCAGAGCGGGTTTGAATGTGACGGCAACAGCAACAAAATTTGTTCAACACGCCATTCTGTAGAAATGGACAAGATACAGCAGTATTTCGTACAGCCGAGAGCACCTTTTGCTTAGGTTGTTCCTATCGAGACAAGCGCCCACGTGGTGCTGGTTAGTACAGTAGGAGGTGTTGCTGGTGCTCGGTGGGTGTTGTGGTGCTGTCACTATCCGTGGTGGTCGTTTTGATGTGTCTGCGGTGGCGGTGTTTGTTGTGCTGTCGATGCCGGTGCCGCTACGGTAGACGGCCCTCAGTAGTGCCGGTATGGAACAGACCAGTTCACCAGCACTATAAAAGGGACCGCGGCACTATCAAGAACAGGGGTTTTGTATAGGTTTTAGTTCAGGTTGTGGGCACTCGTGCCCAGAAGTTTGACCTGCACTATACCGGGCATGGACACTATTCAATCTGCACTACTGAGGGCCCTCTTCTGTACTGCCACTGCTGCGGCTGCGGCTGCTGCTGCTGCTGCTGCTGTTATTGGTTTCATCTTGTCGACCGTCCTTACCTCTTCGCCGTGTCCGCGAAACAAACCTTCCTGCCAGAACGGCGGCAATCTATGTAGGGTAGGCTACACCACACGGCGTTTGTAGCCAGCACAGAAAATATCTCTAGGTTGACGAAGCTGTCCCGTGACTAAACTACAGTCAAGGGTCTCCAAAAATATCAGTAGCCTTCGCAGCGTTTTTTCGTATTTTGTAAACGTGTTGGATGAAGAATACAGTCGGGGATGTTGGGTTAGGGGCAGGGTTAGGGAACACGGTCTGCGTCCCCCCTCCCTGTTCTATTTCCTTATAAATTTATTCATCAAATGTGGCGGTGGTGGTGCAGTTAATCATGACCGCCTGATATGGGGCAGACGTCGTTTTCAATGTGGGTAGAAAACAACTTGATCATTTGGTCAACACCGGGCAGTTCCACCCGCCTTGTGTAGGGCGACCAATTTCACCCGCCTGATGCAGGGCGACTTATTCGGGGACCCCCACGGTACAGCTATTGCTTCCCGTGTATTGCCCGCTGTAGCGTACCTCATTTTGCCGTATTTGTTGTTTTCGTGCACAAATTCTCTTACTTTTTTTATGTTACTTCATTGTGTCATATTGATCGTTCATAAATGTTCTCATTTTTCTTGTTTGTTTTGCAAGGTTTCCGTCATCTGGCGAGACTGCGGTGAGGGAGGAGGACGTGCTCAAGTTTTGCTTTCCCGACAAGGAAGCCATCAAGCCTTCCAGGTGAATTCGCACGCCGCGTTTTGCTTCGGACATTATTAGCCAGGCGTTGACGCTTCGAATGGGGTTGTTCGTGGCAGTTATTTGCCACGTCTGAGAAGCTGTTGCAATATTCATCCCTGTTCTTTCTAGCCTATAAACGTCGCCGAAGATCCCCCCCCCCCTGTTCGCAAAATTTGAATAGGTTGGCGTCGAGTGGCACCGACGCTGTAAAACAAGCCACCAGCCCCTAGACATGAAATAATTGCACTAACCAAATTTTTATTTTCCCATACAATAACACAAACCCGCCAAGCCAGACATGAAAGAGCTGAAATAACCGATC